GAGGGAGAACGAGAGAGTGAGAGGGGGAGCGAGAGAGGGAGAAAGAGACAGAGCAGAGAGAGGGAGAGGGAGAGAGCGAGCGAGCGAGCGAGAGCGCTGCCTCCTGGGCGCATCAGCAGGAAGCTGCCTCAGAAGTGGAGCAGAGCTTGACCCCAGGGACTCCAAGACGGGAGCGCGAGGGCCAAGCAGCGGCTGAACCCCAAGTCAGAGGCCGCCCCCCTATTTCAAGTGACTTCACAGGCAGGGGCATGGACAGAAAGAACCACGGCACCTTGCAGAGCACAGGCAGAAAATGCAGCCAAGAGAGGAGGCAGGCTGCAAATGCGCGAGACGGGGCCCCCAGAAGACAGGGCAGGGCCAGGGGCCAGCGGGCCAGCCCCAGGCCCACGAGCCCCCTCCCTGGGCACTGAAGGTTCCTGGGAGCTATTTCCTCTCCGTGGTTACGGAAGAGCGCCATCCACCTCCTAGCTGGGCCCTCGGCCCCAGCACCAACCTTGTCCGTATTTGGTCTCATGAGGTCCATGCAAGGTCCGGTCGAAATTGTTTGCACAAATAGACTCCACATGGGCACGGCCTGTCGCGTAAAACAGGAGTTTTTCCTCTTTATCCTGCATCGTCAGCTTCTTCCTAACGTAAGAAAAGTGAGACTCAGCACCCGGAACAATCCTCTCCCGCTCCAGTACCCACATCAGTCCCTACGAACGTCTCCTTCCCAGCAGCCTTCAAACGCAGCACTAGCTTGAACGCAGCAGCTGGAATTCACGACAACTTAAATGATGGACACCTACAATCACTGCCCCGTAGAGGTACAAAACTAAGAGAAGCTCAAGTTCACACAACGAGAAAACTGCTGGAGATGAGCAAACTGTTGACACCAAAATAAACCAGCGATGGGGCCGGCGCCTGCGGTGCCGGCATCCCATGTGGGCGCTGGTTTGAGACCTGGCTGCTCCACTTCTGATCCAGCTCTCTGCTGTGGCCTGGGACAGCAGTGGAAGATGGCCCCAGTCCTTGGGTCCCTGCACCCACATGGGAGACCTGGAAGAAGCTCCTGGCTCTTGGCTTCGGATCAGCCCAGCTCTAGCCATTGCAGCCAATTGGGCAGTGAACAAGCAGATGGAAGACCTCTCTCTTCTCTCTCTCTCTCTCTCTCTCTCCTCTCTCTCTGCCTCTCCTCTGTGTTAACTCTGACTTTCAAATAAATAAATAAATAGATCTTTAGAAAAACTGACCAGTAAATATGATCTTAAAGAACAGATCTGAATCCACCGTGTCAGGTTTTACACAAGGAAAACCGAGGTGCAGCCACCAACCTCTGAAAAGTGTTCCAGAGCCTGGGATTCTCGATCTTCTTTATCTTCTCGATCTTGACATTCTTCATCGAGGTTTTAAAATGCTCGCTTATGCCGATATATTCTGAACTGTGGGTGCTGAGCTCCAACAGCTGGGGGAAAATGACACAATAAACGTGAGACAGGAAGTACTGCAGGCAGCCCGGGGCACGGTGTGGCCCCTTCCAGCAGGAGCCTCAGTGCCAGGCCTCTGGCAGCAGGCGACACCGCTGGCTGAGGGCTTGCACGTGTGGCAGTTCACCCCGTCTGAACCAGGCAGACAGGGACTATCTGTTCGGGTCAATGCAAGGCTAACACAGCCTCCTGCCAAGGAGCAAGGGGACGTCCCCTGTGGCGTCTGGTTTAGTCCGAGGAGCCAGGAAGTCCCGTGCTTAATGCTCCCAAACCACGCAGGAGCAAAGGCACTGAGGTGCCGAGGGGCCCAGCAGAGCAGCCAGCACGAAAGCTGGAGCTGATGAGAGGCCACGCCCGCCCGGCACAGGGTGCCCGAGCAGGCGGGCCGACAGGGAGCCTTCCACAGACCCTCCCACTGTTTAGCTGCAGCCACAGAAAAGCTGCTTTTACTCTCCGAGTCCCAGTTCTCTCGTCTGTAATACACAGACAGCAACATCGAGCTCCCAGGGTAGCTGTGAGGATCTGCCCAAAGGAGACGGTGTGCGGCCGAACCCGGACACAGCCGGTGCCCTCCGGGAGAGCCGCCGTCACCCTGTCGATGTCTGCCCTCGCGCGCCACCCAGAGCTCTGCAGAAGCCAGCTCGTGCCTCCAAACAGACACACATGGCCTCGGGCGTTCGGTGTGTCCACAGCAGCATGCGGGGTCGACGCCCACTCCGGTTCCTGACCCCAGCTGCCCACCGCTGCAGACCCTGGCAGGCCGCACGCGACGGCTCGAGACTGGGTTCCTGCCGCCCAGGTGGCAGATCAAGCCTGCGTCCCTGGATCTCTGGTCCAGTCCCAGCTGTCACCGGCATCTGGGGGTGACTAGTAGATAGGAATGCTCTTTCTGTCCCTTGCAAATTCAAAAATATTAATAAACACATATAGCAGAATACATCGTCCCACCCTTCAACCTCACCCCAAAACAAGGGAAACCAGGTACCTGATATCCGTCCGAGGGCTGGGGGTCGGCGACTGGCTGAGGGAGGTTCGAGGGGGAAGGAGGCTCTGGCTGGCTCTGCACCTGCGGACAGCTGCAGACAGAGAGCGGGGCTCAGCGGGGTCCCCGCCCCTGACGCCCAGCTGACTGTGACCCTTAACTCCCGCCGCGGCGCCAGGCCGCTGCCAGCAACACTGTCCGCTCTGTGTGTCCTGTGGGCACATTCCGGGACAGAGGTGCCAGCAACCATGCTTTAAAAACAGGGCATTTGCTAAATTAAATACTTCCTTTCCCACTGGTTTAAAATGTAAAACCATCGGCTCTTTTGTATTTCTGCTCCACCTTCGGAGGCCCCGACGTGTTGGCCTGAGCAAGGACGTCCTCAGGTTCTCTGTCAGATGATCAACATTCAGTACACCAGGGACTTGGAGCAGCAGCCTGCCTTTCCTGCACAGACTGTCTCGCAGGACAAGCACGGGGAACACGGGGAACACGGGGAACACGGGGAACACGGGGAACACGGCTCTTCACCGCTGACCCGCAGGCCGTCCCCCGCCGGAGAACTGACGGAAGACCACCATGCAGCACCGAGGGAGGGCCCCCCGGGCGGGGCTCTTAATCCGCATCACTAAACACAGGATCTGCCCCTGACTGCGGTGGACACCGGTGGACACCAGCCCCTTGTGGAGTGTCAGCGTCGTGGGCCAAGGACAACAGGAATCCAACCAGCGGCTACGTCTGAGCACCACTTACAGGAATTCCACATCCAACGACCCCACGAGGAGCCAACTCGCTACACTGCTGGTTCAGGTCAAGATAGTCCATCACCCAGTCTCTTAACAATATTGGCTGGGGCAGGTGTTGTGGCACGGGGGTTAGGCTGCTGCCTGGGACACCTGGGATTGAGCCCGCCTCTCTTTCCAATCCAGCTTCCTGTGGTGTGCACTCTGGGAGGCAGCAAGTGAAGACCCAAGTACCTGGGTCCCTACCACCCACGTAGGAGCCCGGGTTCAGCCAGGCCCAGTCCCAACGGCTGCGCCCATTGTAGGGGTGAACCAGCAAATGGAAGGCCTCTTCCTCTCTCTCTCTCTATAACTCTTCCTTTCAAATAAACAAATATTTAAAACTTGAAAATAAAGATTTTAGAATGAGAAAAACTGGCCCCAATTTATCTGTATTTTATTTACTTATTTTTTTATTTTTAAAAATTTATTTCCATTTTTACTTACAAGGCAGAGGGATACAGAAAGATTGTGGTCTTCCATCTACTGGTTCACTTCCCGGATGCCTGTAACGGCCAGGGCTGGGCCTGGCCCAAGCCAAGAGCCCAGAATTCAATCCAGGTCTCCCATGTGGGCAGGAGGCACCCGAGTTCTTGAGCCACCACCTGCTGCCTTAGCAGGAGCGGAAAGCCAGCACTTGAACCAGGCCCTCGGACATGGACAGCAGGTGTCCCACTGAACCGAACGCCCACCCATTTGTACTGTAAGCTGATTCCAACTCTGGGTGCGTCCCAAAGCGACACTCAGTCAAGAGCAGAGTGCATACACACAGTGGTTTCCTGGGCCTCCACTGCCTGACATCACAGCCATGTGCGTCTGCGAGTCCGGGCCGATGCTCAGTGATGAAATCAGAGTAAGGCACGTTTTTCCGGACAAAGCACCATCGCTCAGCCGCACGTGCCTGTATGTGTACCTGCAGTACAGGCAGGACTGAATGCGCTTCAGGAGGCCCGCACACAAGGAACTGGGCTGTGGTTCCCTGCTCAGCACAGCGCTCGAAGCCCCTGCTCGGTCCCAGGCGAGCGCGTGTCCCTCCTGGGCCAGGGCAGCATCTGAGCCCGTTCTCACCACCACTTCTTTGTCAACTCATTTCATGCACTGATTTTGCTACCTATTTATTATCACGATGTGCCATGCCAAAGCTTTGAGGAACGGATGATCTGGGAGTGGGGAGGAGGCAAGAAGGAGAAAGAATCGTGCTGGGGATGACACACAATTAACCATACTGGATACTTTGAAAAGTTGGGGCTGGCTCGTGGTGCAGAGGGTGAAGCTGCCACCTGCAATGTCAGCATCCCGAATGGGGGCCAGTTCAAGTCCTGGCTGCTCCACTTCCATCCCAGCCCCCTGTTATGACGCCCGGGAAAGCAAAGCAGAGGAGGGTGCCCCAGTGCTTGGGTCCCTGCCACCCAGGTGGGAGACCGGATGGACTTCCAGGCTCCTGGTCCAGCCCTGGCAATTGCAGCCATTTGGGAGTGAACCAACAGATGGAAGATCTCTGTCTCTGTTTATCTCTTCTCTCTCCCTTCCTTTCTCTGTAACTCTGCCTTTCAAGTAAATAAAATAAATCTTTTTTTAAAAGTTAATGGAAAATTGGAATGAAAACATGGTGCAAAAAAAAAAGTGGCAATCCGCGCCGAGAGGTTTCCTAACGCTCATTTCCCGTGACCTTTGCGAAGGCCTCTCCTACTGCCGAGGACGGGCAGCGAGCATGACGTGGTCACTGCAAGCGGTGCTGGGGGCAAGAGAGGGCCACAGCGGAGGCCTGCGCGGCCCTGCAGCCGCGTCAGGAAGGCGGGGATCTGCGGGTGTTGGCAGAGGGTGGGAGACCCCGCAGCAGCTGTGACACGTGCACCTCGCCGGGCCACAGCAGAGCCATTCCAGGAGAGCGGAGAAATACAAGCCAGCTTCTTCCCTCGGAAACACACGTGCCCAGCAAGAAACCGCCAGCCGCGGTTCGAAGGTCTGCTGACCAAAGGGCAACAAAGGATGGTTTCCGTGGCTGGGGCTAAACGCGAGGAAGGGAACTGTTAAAAAGCCCCATGACTTAGATTTCTTTTAAAAAAACATGCAGTTTTGCTGCTCTAAGGAAACACAGTTCAAACGGAATTCCATCCAGACTTCATGTCAGAATCACTGTTTTTTTAGGAGTTATTTATTCATTTAATTGAAAGACAAAGTAACGGGGGTCAGGGGACAGAAAGAGAGACGGTCTTCCATCGGCTGGTTCACGCCTCCAAGTGGTCACAACGGCCACGGCTGCTGCAGGCCAAAGCCAGGAGCCTGGAACTCCACCTGAGCGCCCACAAGGGCGGCCGGGGCCATCCTCTCCTCTGCTGCTTTCCCAGGCGCACCAACAGGAAGCCAGCATGGAAGCGGAGCTGCTGGGACTCGAACCGGCACTCTGATATGGGATGCCAGCGTCACAGAGGCTTAACCCATTGTGTCCCAAGGATCATTCTAATGAGCAGACACAGTTACGATGATGTCATCAATTGCCTGAATGCAGGCGGCACCCCCACGCCGTCTTATTCTGCCTTTTCCCCACCAAACACCGGTCAGGAACTTGAGTAGCCCCTTAGCGCCTCGTGCACCAGACTTCCTGGAAGTCCCAGGAAGCCAAGGACATTGCCTCTCCCTTCCGAACCCTTCATGTGTCTTAGTTTATTAATTTGAATATTAAAAGCATTCAAGGGACCATGGCAGATTCTAATTCTAGGGTAATCAAATTCTAGGAAATCAAAAAAAAAAAAAAAGAAATTCAGACAAAATTAGGCACTCAGTGGTGGAGGGTAAGGTTGAAGGGGTAAGACGGGAACTCGGAGGTTAAAATTAAGTCATCTTCACTATAACACAGTGGTCCCCACATACCCCCAGGGGATACATTCCAGACACCCAGCGGATGCCAGAAACCATGAACAGCACTGAACCTACTGATACTGCTTTTTCTTGTACATTATCTGGCAAAGCTCGATTTGTAAATTGGGCACAGTAAGTGACTGACAACACCTATAATGAAATAGAACAACTACAACAACATGTGGTAGTGAAACTTCTGCACATGTGATCCCCCTCCCCCTCCCCCCATCTTCCTGTGCTGGGCACTGTCACTCAGCATCCTTGGGTCCCCCTCTCCCCCTCCCCCTCCCCCACATCTTCCTGTGCTGGGCACTGTCACTCAACATCAGTGGGTTCTCCCCTCCCCCTCTCCCCCTCC